ATGTTTAAAAAATAGTATATTGTGTCACAAGGGCAGAAAATGAGCTTTAGCAGCCCACCGTTATTAGCTGCATGAGCGAGCGAAGCGAAGCGAGGGCAGCTGATAGCTAAGGGCCATAGGCGCCGAATCCTCGGGGCTCTGGGTGCTTGTGCACCCAGAGCAGTTTTAAACTAGGTGCGGGGCATCCATAGCACTACGTGGACAAACATTGCCAATAAGTGAAATGAAGAAGCTGTCGTGGCCCAAGTTGGTATAGCGACAGGATGCCTCGATATAGTTATTTACGTGTCAAGCTCAGAAAGTGATACTTTACAAGGCGAACATGCACGTTTCAGGGCGACACCGAAGGCGGAGCCATGAGAGCATTCGAGCCCTGTAAATACACTTTCCGAGTGTGGCGCGTACGTTATTTTTTGTGCTGCAACCAATAATTTGGCAATAATATAGGAACAGAATATTTATTGCTCAAAATTTATAACAAAACTTAACTCATTTATTATTAATGTTTATGTTGAACGAGTAGTTATGCAAAGAACAATTATTAAATGTTGATTTTCCGGTCAATTTAGGAATCATAATATTTGTGTTATCAATAATATTGGATAAGAGGTCGGGAAATTAGGTATTTTACCGAGCAGTGTTGTCACTTTTCCGAGCAGTTATGTCAATTTTCCGTTCTAGACCAGCAACGATGCACTTTTTGAGCTAAAAAATGAAAAAAATGATTCGGAGCTGTATTTTTGTGATAAAAAAGTCGCAGTGACTTTAGACAGCGCGTTGAACTTGGACTTAAGGGTTTATTATTCTTGGTGTATAAAACCCTATAACATCAAAAAAGAAAGACTAATAACGGTCTACAATTATCAAGACAAGAGCTTTGTACATATATGCTATTGAGCAAATGCTTGAAAGGAGAAGGGATAACATTTGAAAGTTGCTCCCGATTAAGCACAGTTAGAAGTGCTGGCGAGAAACCAGGTCATCTACCAAAAATGTTCGGACCTGTCAATTTTTGATTTAAGGGGGAAACATTTTTCTGCCAGTTTCACCCTCTGAGCGAAAACCCTCTATTGGAGGTGAGACTCACCAGTAAAATCTTTAATGGAAATATGGTGAAGGTATTTTTACCTAAATAATAACCCCCAAGTTTTACATCGCTACTATCTATGTAGCCCATGCAGTGGTTTATCAAAAAAAACCAAGTATTTGTAACAATTCTAGTTTTATTCCTGTGGCTTTCAATTATTGTTATCAGATCACATTCTTTGGTCGCCGTAAAGTAAAGTAGAAATGTAAAATGCTGTAATGAAGCTACAGAGGTGGCTATTTAGGGGTATGTTGTTCAAAAACTCACATTGAGTACAAGACAGTTGGCGATAACATCTGGTATTAAGAGAAGTAGCATTCAGAAGATATTGAGAAAATACAAGTTTCATCCCTATAAAATACATTTGGTAAAAGAACTTAACAAAGACGATTTTGATAGGCGATTACAATTTTGTAAAATTATGACTAAACGGGCAATACATGATTAGTAATTTCTTTTCAACGTGTGTTTTTCAGATGAATGCACTTTTTTTCTAAATGGTGTAAATCGTCACAACTGTCCTTATTGATCCAATTCAAATCCCAGAATATTTCATAAAGTGCATATGCAACATCCGGAAAAACTAAATGTTTGGGCATTTTTGGTAACCGTATAATTAACCTCTTTTTTTACCTGGAGTTTAACCGCAGAAATGTATCTGGAATTATTAAAAAATGCAATTTATCCAGCATTACTAGAATTGATTGAGATTGACGATCAGTACATAGTAAACAAACATTTCCAGATCAATGAATCGGAAAAAGAGGAAGTATTAAGTGACCTCCATGGTCTCCGGATCTAAGCCCGTTAGATTTTTTATGGGGCCACTTAAAAACATCAGATCACCCCATAGATGCTTCAAAATGCCCGAGAGCGTCCTCTATTATTGCATTTACAACATTTACTCGAGTAACTGGTAAGCTTTTACAGAAAATACAAATCGTTAAAAGATCATGGCTAGAAAGATGTAGCGTTTTAAAACCCGGTGGTCATAATCTATGTAATAATACCTTCAAAATAAGCTATTATTCGACCCCTTTTTCCATTTAAGATCTTAGGGGTAAGTTTCATTCCCGCTAGAGGGTTTTCGTTGAGTGAAACTAGCAAAAAAATGTTTCCCCCTAAAATCAAAAATTGACGGGTTTAAGCGTTTTCTCGTAAATGACCTGGGGTGCCCAAAATTGACTTTGTTTCGTTTTCAAATAGCCACCCTGTATATATGCAATACTCCATTATGTGCATTAATAAATCATCAAAAATCTTCTTCTAAATTCATGATAGTTAATAAATGTTTTATATTGTGTTTCTACTTATTGCATTGATACTCTAGCATTGCAGCACTACTGCATACCAGTGGTGGCTGTAACGAGCATATAGGGTTGCCAGATGCCAGATATCCCGATTTAGGTGAGAGCCTCCCGCCTATCCAGCAATTGGACATTTGACAGGTGTGGAGGTGGGGGAGAAGTGATAGCCTCCATTACCCGCATAGAGGCCGGGCACCCAAAGCAATTTTTGAGTTCCGGCGTCTATGCTAAGGGCTGCTAAAACGTTTTCTGCATGTGTGACATAATTGTTTTTCGCCTAGCAAAACAAAGAAAAGGAAAATATAACGAAAATCTTTAATTTTACAAATACAAGAAACTTAAGTAGTAAAATGTACGAATTTATTTTTTAGTTAGGTTTTTTGCTCTTTTTCGTACCATTCTCTTGACTTAGTAGGTACATAGTATATTTAGACAAATATTGTTGGCTTCCTCTTGCAAGTTTGGTGGAGTATTTATAAATTCTTCGTCACTGTCTGAATGACTATTCATGTTCACTAATAGACTTACACCCCACTGACGTTTAATCAAAATTTATGTGAAACGTCAAAGTACGCAAGTGACAGTCAAAGGTATCTAGATATCTAGTGAAAAACTACAAAATCGGGCTGTTATGAGTTTAGCAGCCCATGGGACGATATACGTTACTTTCGGTTATATTTTTAGGCGAATGTATTAATCAATTTTTAATATATTTCTTTATGGTCGATGTATCTACTTATATGATATTCGACATTGTGGTAGAAAAGTATTTTCTTATCAGTTAATAGAGCGTAAAATGTCCAACGGTCTGGAAAATGATCACGGGAAATAAGGAATTAAGTGTTTTTCAACAATTTATAGATTAAAATTTCCACTGGAGGGTTGAATGTTTTAAGATAGTTTGGGTAATAGTTATTAAATTAAAAATCAAATAGTGTTCAGTATTTTCTGAGATTGATTTTAATAAAAACAATTATTGACATGTAGATACATGAGAAAAAAATACATACATTATGATAGGTTAAGTTATGTAGATGATATGTCAAAAGGCAGAGTTTGGAATCAGATGCCAATCTTCCACTCAACTTGAGTTTAAAAGGAAAACTAATACAAGAAATAGTTAAGTCAGAATTAAAAGGATGAATTTCAATTTGAAATTTTAAGGTGCCATTGAGCATAATTTGTTTTATTTTGGTTTTGAACGTAGATGCAGACAGCAGACACAATTTTTAGATTTTCTGGTACTAAATTATAGTATTTTCCGAAGTTATACGAAAATGAATCTTGAGAGTAAGAAGTGTTATGACGATATATTGATATATAATTTCGTGGCCAGATATTTTTGTTATGTACGTTGGATTTGTAGGAGATGTTATTGTACACGTAAGGCGGGTTTTTGGATTTTCTTAATTTGTATTCAAATTTACATAAAGAAAAGTCGTACAATTGCTTTACATTCAGCCAGTTTAACTCCTTGAACTGTTTTGAAATTGATCAAATTTACAGAGACCAAAGATTAGCCTTGTACAGGTGTTTCAATTTTTTAATTGGTTATTTTCCATTTTACCCAAACAGGAACCACCTACGATATCAGCAGCATAATAGAAAGTAACCGAGTGCTGTTTCCTTTTTCACACAGTTCACAATATAAATTTAAGTCTAGTTTTTACATTTAATCATTTTTGTACATTGATTTCCTATTAAAAAAAACTACAAGAAATACATTAGTATTACTTAAGGCAGAGCTCTTTTAGTAAATGCAGTGCTCTTTAGTGAGCTGGTAAATAACAGTTAATTGAATAAAAAGAAGATTTTTGGTTATATAAGAATGCACTTGTGTTCTTTCTTCTTCTTTCTTACATTTTTATGGGCTCAATCCTTCAGGATTATTTACCCAGGTTATGTTTTTTGTAGAATGAAATTTCATGAAAAAGCTGCAACCTCGTGCGTTTGTGGTCTTTGACTTTCATTACATTTTGTTTTGTTTAATCGACTTCTTTTATAACACTGTGTCTAAAATTTGTCGGATAAGTTAATTCCTATTAAATATAAATAAATTATAATAATAGATGCATGTAACAAGTCTTCAATAAAACCAGTATATCACGTGACTAAATTAATGTCACCAGTTGGCTAAACATTAATAACTTCACTAGTAACTGCTAGTAACCTTAAAACAAAATCACTGACGTATTTGGCAAAACTGTACTTAAGTTGTCATAAAAGTCAATAAGAACGGCCATTTTCATTATAGATATTTTTTCTACCAGAGTACGTGGAATACGGGTTTTGTTAAAAATTCTGTTCTGTATAAAGAACTGCCTGGATGAAAGTAGAACTTATGTGTTGTCAAACAGGTATAGTGTATACGAAATCAATTCGAACAGCTAAATAAAAGACTCATGTAGTGGGTCTGATAAATTTACTAGTTAATATCATATAGAAGCTCCCAGATAAAATTGATGATTACACCTTGTATGAATCTCTCACTTCTGTATGTCTGCAGTATCTAGTCGAACAAATAATATTGCATGGACACACAAGAAAAATATGAATGTTAAAAAATGTAGAGTCCACTGTAAATACCGTTGTTTGCATTTTCGGGTAAATTGTCAGTGCTGTGGCTAGAGTAAGGATTTATAAAATTAGTTTATTCTGCGTTCATGGGAATTTTAGTTTGTTTTTCTAAATTGATTTCTTGTGGTTGTTATTTAATCAAGATGGCATTGTGGAGACCTTTTATTGATGTTGAAATGGACATTGTTAAAGGCTCGGTTAAAGATAATTATATAGCGGAAACGTCAGAATTTATAAATAAAGACTTGCATCCTCAAACTCAAAGACTTATTTTTAATATTTACACTTACTTGAAAAGTGAAATGCGTGGGGCCTCACAAAACGAAATTTTAAAAAGGATTTTTGAGCTGATTAAACTTCCCTGTATTACAATTTATACTGTTGTTAGAGCAGGAGGTGTCATTGATCATTCCGTAAAACGAAAAAGAGATAATCAGAAGCTTAAGAAGGTTGATAATGCCGACAAAGAAGTTATACGCCGAGTTGAACACAAGTTTTTACGAAGAAAATAAGGTTCCAACTTTAGAAATGGTTCGTAATATGTTATAGGATTATCTCGATTATCAATATAAATCTCCAGACACATTGCGCAATATTTTGCTAGATTGTGGCTTCAAGTACAAAAAATTGAATAAAACAAAGGTCGTGGCAGGAGTATTTACGAAAAGTTAAGCAATAACGCCAATCAAAAAGAGAAATAGTGTACCTTGATAAAACTTGATTCGACACACATGTTCTTGTTAAATATGGTTGGGTGGATGAAAGTAATAAGTGCTCTCTAAAGGGACCTTGTTCTCGCAGTAAACGAGTTATCATTCTACACACAGGCAGTAATAAGAGTTTTGTTCCTAATGCTCTTCTATTGTCAGCTAAAATTATAAAACAGAAATCTGCTGACTACCATGAAGATATGACTGCCAGTCTGTTTGAAAGAAGGTTAAATGAACTACTGCTGTCAAATCTTTCCCCAAATTCTGTTATTGTTATCATTCCCGTCTACATAACAAAATTCCCAATAGCAGCACAAAGATGGAAGTTATTCTTAAATTTATGGAAAGTAAAAATATGGAAATTCCTACAAAGTCTACCAAAAAAGTGTTATTGGAATCTATACAAAAAATTTTTTTCGAAAAGATTATGTAATCGAAGTCCATGGTCATATTATTCTACGTCTTCCTCCCTATTACTGCGAATTCAATACGATCAAGATGTTTGGGCTGCTGTTAAAAAGAAAACCTGACAAAATATAATCAATCTCCAACTGACAGTGACTAGAAAATATACGAACCGTTATTAATAAAGTAAACCACAGTGGTAAATGGATGAAATAAGCCCAGCATGTCATAGAAAAGGAGAATGAATATTGCATTTTACCTTTCAAAGACCCCATTATCATAATCCTAAATCCAGATTCAAGCTCTGAAAATTTATAAAATTAATTAAATTTTTATTAAATTCTTATGGCAGGACAAACTGGTGATTTTTTGACATTACTCTATATTTCTAATAAAACAAATATCCGTGTAGGTACATGAAGAATAAAATTAATTTTGAAATACAAAGAAGCCGCCGCGACGGTCGGTAGATATTTAGTTTTTATGCCGTTCGAATTGACTTCGTATAGACTATAAATATGTCACTTTATTCAACGATGAGTTTACCATGTTATTGGTCTTATTTCCTTCGATGAATAAAAAAACACAGGCAACCTTTTAGAGATTGTTCTCATTTCAAATTTTGACATTTTTGGATTATTTTATTTTTCAATTTTCAACTTTAGCCTTTCCAATATTATTATGTCCTATTAAATAGTCTTCTGTTTATCATCTGGAAAAAAAATATTTTCAAGAATGCGTAAAGTTGCTTCTATTTTAATTATACTGAGAATTTATATTCGAAGAATCTATGAATGTACGAAAAAAAGATAAAAGACACACCTGTCAATAAGATTAGTTATGCTGTTTGATACGGTTCTTGTTGACATTGAGAAAACGATATTTATTAGACAAGGCGAATAACATCAACCAACATTACGGTCTCAAAATAAACACCGACAAAACGTAAAAGTAAATTTACTGTAATTAGTAAAATCATAATTAATAATGCAAGTATTTGTGTTGAAAGCATTTTATAGAATCGATCATCGTTATTACATTTCAAAACCACGAGCATCAAAGACTGTTGTATCAGTGCATTACCTTTATGTTCTATTTAACAAATATAGGGTATACCTTAGATGGGTATACTGAGTAATATAAAAGGGTTTACATCGTAGTTAATAGCGTTAGATCTGGAGTTACGCAAGGTACGAATCTTAGACAATTACTACTCTTGGAGTAAAAATAATAGTATAGAGGAACCTGTAGCAGTGGCGTTTCATGAGACTAAAATATAGAGTTTTTCATGTCATAAGAAAATAGATCACCTAAAAAATACGATTTAATTTTTGTTGTTTGAAGTCAGAGTAGTTTCATTAATTTTTCAAATTTCCTAATTATTTCCAAAGTCGAAACAATTCATATCAAATTATCTTAGCAATCGTACTTATAAAGTTGTTTTGGAAGCTGATGTCTCCAACATTTTATCTCTTAACGTATGGTTCATAACTCTTACGAAAAAGTTTTAAGGCTCATTATGATATCACAAGATGGTTATGGAAACAAAAGTTTGTTTGGTCTTCAAGCTTCTATTTGACATTTATAGACTAGAACTTTTTTCACTCATAATGTCGTATAAATTGGAAATCCGAAAAAGTATTTACAATTTGGTTGGGCGAATGCCTACGGTTGAAATTTTTCGAATTTTTCGAGATCGAGATATATCGGTGAGTACCATATACCGGACAATATCAGATTGCGAATAGGTATCTTCATGCCAAAATCTGCCGAAAAGTGGAAGACCACGTCATTTTAATCCTCAGAAGTGCCGTAGAATAGAGAGAACAAAAAACAGGGTCGGCGTGTCTCAACGAAAAATAGCCAGAGGAATACAACTTCTCACAGTACAATTTGCAGAATTTTAAAAAGAAGTGGCAAGTATATCGTAAAAGACAAAAATGTCCCAAGTATACCCCTAATCAGCTGACCAGAATACCACGATGCTGCCGAAATCTTCGACGCGTACACTTTGCAAATGACAAGTCGGTCATTATTGATTATGAGAAGTATTTTACTTTGGAGAACTCCGAAATAAAATTTTGTTACACAGGTTTTTGGTATCGCAATTTATTTCAACTCAACTTTAACAACAATTATACAACTGATAACATTAACATGTAACGCCTATCATAAAACTGCAAACTGAGGTCAGGATCATCCTTATATATTGCTTCTCGAACTTTCTCGAACTGTCGTCTAGAATATTCTTGACGGGTAATGAAATTTCTGGACATTTTTAGACTATTCTATCTTCTTTTACTTGTACTTTTACTTATGACGACCGCATAGAAGACAATGTAAGGTTCAAGGCAAAAGCAAAATTTGCCCACAAAATTTTCGTGTGGTATGCTATATCTTGAAAGGGCTTTTGAAAGGCCTTATATAGGTCATATTAGGGACAAGGCACTAGATAGCAGGCGCTATATTGACAACTATTTAACAAAATTGGCCAACTTTATTAAAGAGAATCATGCCGCTGACGAAATAATGTTTTGGCCCGACTTGGCATCATGTTATTATGCGAGACAAACGCAAAAGTGGCTTAGACAACAGAATATTCCATACGTTCAGAAAATATGATAACCCTCCCAACTTACCCCAGGCTCGCCCTATCGCACTATTGTCACGAAAAGTGTATAGTCCTTCCATTATCAATTGCAGGACACAGTTATGTGGGGAATCATTAATATTTAATATATACGCACGGTACTCATGCCAAATTAAGAAACGAAAAATAATGTTTACTCCCCTTATACAAAGCGGTAAATATTAAACGAACCATCAGTTGTTTACCAATGAAAACAGGTTTACGGAAGGCAGGTGTTCGAAACTATTCCTGGAAGACAGTCTGCGATATCAGTGGAGTACTGTCGTGCGGTGTATTTTGTTGGTTAGGTGTTTCTGACAGGTGAAGAAAGGCAGAGAACCTCCAATTTTGTTTGAGGAGTAAAATCTTTATTTTAGATAACCATCGAATTATCCTATTTCCCCTTTAACGTCTTCCAACTTGGAGAGTCTTAAATGTTTATTATGTTTCAACATTAAACGTTGATGTTTAGATATAGGTGCGGATATGCACATGATTTTTTTTATTTCATTGTATATATAAAGGTAGAAATTAAGATCTTAAAATTTTTGCATACCATCTTGCACAAGCGTCCTTCACTTGGTACCAAGCTAACGACCAACTATGCCACCTGTTGGTGAATTTATTTTCTTTTTTGGTTCATGCATATGATATATACTTTGCTTTGATTTCTTACCATATTTAGTTATGTCAGTTTATTTGATTATTAAATTCATCAAAAGCCATTAGATAAATAATTTTTAAGATTGTACAATTTTATTGGGAAAATTGGTAAAATTTTATAAAGGAACATAAGTAGTTCCCCTCTGGAAGTTGCTTAGAACTTTAAGTAGGTCACAAATTAGTTAAACGATAACAATTTGTTCTGAAATTGTTTGCTTGCATCGTGTTATAATTATGAATGTCAGATTGTTTAATTAATTGATCCGATTTTTTATGAATTTCAATCGTTATATATTTATACTGTTGGTAGGGCCATAATGGTAAACTTTATAAAAAGAAGATGACAAGGATATCTATAATCTACATTAGCAATAAATTCTTATCGCTCTTTTTGCAGACGAAATACTTACCATAATTTAAAGAAGAATGAAAAACAGAAATATAGGTTGTCAGTAGAGTACTGGTACTAGTTACATTTTTTAGTTGTCTAAGCAAAAATATATAGTAATAGATAGCTAGTTCTTTAATTGATCAACATCGCTAATCCAATTTAATTTGCTGTTTATGGTTAAAACAAGTAACTTAATAATTTAATTGTTGTTGAATCTGATTAATAAGCGTGAAATGTAGGGGAAAAACATAAATTTTATGTTTTGTCTGTATTTAATTTTAAAAAGATTAACTAAAATACACTCACCGGCACGAAAAACGGAGCAGTTGAATTTTTTTAAACAAACTTAATATTTTAATGCTTTGTGATGTTTTATTATTATAATATCTTAAACATAAACAAAACAACATGTTTTAAGCATTTTCTAACAACAATTGAACCTTTATTTGAAGAAAAAAAGGGTTTTGTAACAATTTAAAAAACGAAGACGAAAAAGCACAAATTGGTGTTGTTGCTAAATGACCTTAAATTAATCAAAACTGAAACGACTTGCTAGCAAAAACTGGGGAGCCGCATTTTTAATAACGTGTGTTGCCCCCACTTGCTCGAATAATAGCCTGCCTCCTCCTTGGCATGCCTAAAATTAAGTGGCGAATGTCCTCTTGAGGAATATGTTCCCATTCCTCTAAAAGAGCTTGTTGCAACTGATTTAAAGTTAAAGGAGCAGGAACACGACTTCGCATCCTTTGCCCAAACATGTTCAATTGGGTTCGCATCCGGGCTTAACGCTGGCCACTTTATAACAGGAATGTTTACATCGTTTAAGTACTGTTGAGTGATTCTCGCGATGTGAGATCTGGCATTATCATGCATTAGAAGAAAGTCATTTCCAATAAAGTCAACATAAGGGACAAAAAAATCTTGGAGAATTTCATCAATGTACCTGGCAGCAGTTAAGGAGCCTCTCGGAAGGATGTAAAATTCTGTGTGTGCCTCTATAGAAATTCCGGCCCACACCATAACTGAGCCGCCTTGGTAGCCTACCCTAGGACTGGAGGTACATTCTGCGAAACGCTCTTGTGGTCTTCGCCATACTCTCTCACGACCATCTGGAGACCGCAGGCTAAATCTCATACGTAAACAAAACACGCCCCCATTTATTTTCACCCCAGTGCTCATGATTTCTGGCAAACAGAAATCGCGCAATACGATGACGCCTAAGAAGCTCTGGGCCTGTTGCAGGTCTACGACTGGTAAGATTGGCTTCTTCGAGTCTTCGTCTAACTGTCCGTTCGCTTATGTTGGTTTGCCGGACGTGATGAAGTCGATTTCTGATTTCAACAGCCGTAGCATGACGATTTCGCAGACTTTGTAAGATGATAAAGCGATCATCATGAGCGCAAGTTCTTCGTTGGGGACCAGTTCCAATTCGTCTGGTTTCCAAAAAACGTGTAAAAATAAGGTGCACAGTGCTATTGGATATGTGATACTGTTGGGCAACATATCGCTCACTTCTTCCGTTTTGAAGCAACGCAACAATAGCAGCCGCTATTTCGGGATTAACAGCCATAATTTTGTAGGTGAAATAAATGCAGCACAACTTTAAAACGTGTTTCGATCTGTCAAATTTCTCAAAACAATGAAAACAACAGCATTGTTGGTCATGGTTTCATAGCCAACTATGCACTTTGAAGTGATAAGTCCGTTCAATTTTTGATTTTTATTCAAAAACGCTTTTCTTCTTCAAATAAAGGTTCAATTGTTGTTAGAAAATACTTAAAACACGTTGTTTTGTTTATGTTTAAGATATTATAATAATAAAACATCACAAAGCATTAAAATTTTAAGTTTGTTTAAAAAAATTCAACTGCTCCGTTTTTCGTGCCGGTGAGTGTATATGTATTAGCACATTCTTCTACAGTCTTAGTTGTAATTTGTAGAGTTTCATGTTTTTTTTTAGAATAGAAAAAAGTGGTATCGTCAGCAAATAATATAGAAGTAGTTGGTGATATATAAATGGATAATATGTAATTTATATATACTCTAAATAATAGAAATGTTATGACTGAACTTTGAGGAACGCCTTGTTTAATTTTTTTAAAGCCAGAGATAGAATTATTAAAACTAACTGCTTGGT